ATAGTCACTCAGCTAGTTAAGGCGTTTATGTATGTTTTGTGGTCTCAATGTTCGGTTGTGTTTTGAACAGGACTATCCACTGTGAGGTTCGCAATTTAAAACAAATTTACGAACCACAATTCCTGTATAAGATGAATAATCCATCAGCATTCTACGCATTAGAAATTGATCTCTACTTCAATTTACTAATGGAATTGCCGAAAATGTAGCTATTGTCCATTTATATGCAAAATACGCCTATTTTTAAAATTCTGTAACGTTTGATTTTTTGAAGATACGTAATAAAATTCAGAAACCAATATGGCGTCCCTTGTTGAATGTATGTCTGCAATATGGTTCAGTATAAGAATATACCGTTTTACCAATCCTTCGGTTGTTGACAAATAAGGCCGACGTTGTTTCAAAGCTTGTGTATGGAATGTTGTAATGGTACATCACATCATTGTCTGTTTTGGCTATCCCTAGTCATCAATTTATTTATAATTCCACTGCTGCTGCCAATATTACTCGTAAACCGGGCTGTTTGAGGTTGACAAACTGTCGAGATTCCCATACAAATTGATTAGCATCAGGAATCAATGCACTGCATTATTTTACTTACTTGTTTATCACATTAGTAAAACGGCATGATACTAATGTTAATGTAGCAGAACGTTGAAGCTTTATTTGTCTAGGCATATAAAGCTGGTGGCGTTTTGTTTTATGCTTTATGTTTGAGTAACCTTTTCCATGCTATGCACGAGATAAACATGTAAACAATACGTTCGCTACGGTGGTCTAGCGGTTAGAACGCTGGCCTTGTAATCCTGGGGTCTCGGGTTCGATTCCCGGCGGTGCCTGAATTTATAACTTGTGTTGGGCAAGGCCGTGGGCTAGGCAACACGGAGTTTTTCTCCGTGGCATCCCAACAATTACTCATTACTCCATACACACAGAAGAAGGCAATGGCAAATCACTTCTGGATCATCTGCCAAGAACGTATATGAACAGGTCCCAGTCCGAGAAAAGGATGGAAGGATCCTGTTCATATGGACCTGTCGTCAGACAGAACACTAAATAAAAAATAATAATATGCTTTGAATCGTTTAGTGTTTAATTGTCAGTAATGTTATTTTTCAGTTATTTCAATATTTTGAATATTTTCTAAGTTACCATTGATACATTCGGACTGGTGGAAAGGATGCTGTGTGGAGCTGAGTGAACTCAGAGTGACAAGGTACAATATGCACTGCAGTAGATTTTCTACAAGTGTCCAGTTGTGGAAAGAGTCGAAATAAACGGAGTTCTGAAGGAACTTTCTTTCTTGGAGTATTCATGAACACATTTCCCTTTCGACGATATTGGAGTTCATGATTGATTAGATTAGATTAAGTCAAAGTGCTGAATTTTATTTTAGCGATCTTAAGATAATATTCTAGTTAAACATTCAACAAGAAATGTAAACTTCAGTGTACATACTAATAAAGAACTATCGAAGTGTGCTGAACAAACTGTAGAATGGGGGGCGAGAGAGTGAGGGGGGAGAATAAGGAAACAAAATATTATTGTTCCATATTTGAGTTCTAAGAGAAACGCATTTAATAATTGTTTACACAAGTTTTAAGGCTTGCCGATGTAATATCTTCAACGTGACTTGACAATTAAATCATTTTCACAAAATTTGGATGATAGCAGAATAGGGATAAGTGTGTGGGAAGATAAAAAGCCGGAGAATAGAGAAACTAGTGACATTGAGGAAATGTAAGACGATGTCTACAACTGGGAGGAACGAGGCGAAAAGGATAGAAAAATAAAGTTTCTGTTTGCAGAAATGCCTCTGCAGCCTCTGTCTTCAAGAACCCATCTTCACTCCATGCCCCCCCCCTCTTTGTACCATCTCTCCCCACTTCTTCCTTCTTGCTTCAAAGTAATTCCGCGCTTTCTTCCGGTTTTCCTGTGACTCTCACAGGCAGCCTCTGTGTTCTGTCGGTGGCCGAATCGCCGTCACTCTGGAACCATACTGCTCTCCTACCACACAAAGACTTCTGTTTTCCTCGATTTTCGACTGACTTACTCAGGCAGTTTAATTTTGAAACTTGTTATCGAAATCCATCTATTTTTCATTCGTACATTATCTTTTTAATCAGTTTCGGAGGTGAAAATTCCAAATCTCAGTTTCTAGAATTAGGATTGGAGGTTTTCACTGCCGTAATTCCGAAGATGGCTGTGTTCTGTCATAGAGGAATCAAGATCCTCTGAAACGTTGGTAAACTTCTGTCAGACTATACGACGTTGCAACTCAGAAGACAGCCATCTTCAGAACAGCGCCCTGAGAACATGAATCCTACTTCTGGTTTCAGTTTCCTTGGTCTGTACCATGTCCTTTCTGATCTATCCCCTAAAGTCAGTAGCCTATTACGATATGTTACACAGACGCATGGCACAGGCTTGTACACTTTCTTCAGAACAGCAGTGAAAAGTTTGATGGAACATTTTTTGTTTTGAGAGCAAGGGTCATTAGTTGGCATTGCCCAATGTTAGCTGAAAATCTTTCGTGTCATAGAAATTGTCATTAACTGACTTTTTTTTATTATAAAATTATGCACAAGAACCACGTCAAACCGATCTCGTTCATAAGCTTGTGTAGAATAAGCCATTAACTGGTGCCTTAGTCGCTTTGTCATGGAAAGAGCTTTTGATAACTTTATCAACCGTTATTCAGACCCAACAGCAATAAGAAACTCATTTTCATCGACACGTTCAAAAATTCAGTCAGTGGCTTCTTACGTCACACCGACGAAAGAGAATGAGATAATTCGAAATACAGGAACATTAAAAGACGTCGTATGAAGTCGACGCCATTATGATTCATTTCGGACCAACCACTGAGAGGAGAGCAGTAGAGAGTTGCAGGAATTTGGTTTGGTTTGTCTTCTCAGCGTGTGTTCGTTCTTACTGCCTCCATCTTGGACAAGATAGTTTGTTGTTACTATTAAAATGAGGCCGGCGCAAATTACTGAACAAATAACAGGGAAGAATAAAAGACAAGGAAGATAAAGGAGAAAAGTGGGAGAGGGTGAGTGAAGGCGAAGGGAGGGATTCGTTATGGCGTCTCTTGGAAATCGAATTTCCTGATGGAAGGAAAAACAATGGCGGTAGGTGGAGACATAAACTAAGCGTTTTATGGGGGTAGGGGTGGGGAAGGAACCGAGAAAATGGGAGAGACTGAAATATGGAGTTGTTGAAACAACCGAAGCCTTCATATGTCCGGGAGGACGTGCGGTGTGGCGTGACACATCCCCCAGTGTCAGGGGAAATATCAGCTGCATCAGTTTTAAGCACACAAATTACACAGGTGAAGTATTAATTTGAAGCAAAATTTTCGTCCTGGAATATGAATTTAGTTCAATTACTTTTTGTGTTGCCCTATGGTGATACCAACCCTTCACATTATATTTTATACTGCATTAAAGTAAAATTAGTTTATCTCCGTACCTAACCACAAAGTCATACGACGTATGGGAATGGAGTTTCCATTGCAAGGAGGTGATGGTGATATTTAAAGGTCTTCTTGGTAGTTGTGCCGTGTAGTCTGGTAGAAATTTATCGACGTTTCAGAGGTCCTTGCAGCCTCCATCATCATCAAACGGCGGTTGATGAATAATTAATTGGAAAGACTGTGGAATTAATTGGTCATAAGACTTGAGGTTCTCACAGCGGTGAGTATGAAGATTTCCGTCCTCAGGGCGATGATGACGGAGGCAGTATGACCTCTGAAACGTTGGTAAACATCGACCAGACTACACAGCGCAACAACCCAGAAGACGGAAATCTTAATTGGTCGTAGTTTAATGTAAGGTACTCCTTCTATCCATGCATTTTATTGGAGAGACTGAGGTAAACCACAAAAATTTTGAGTCAAGATAGGCGGTCTTCGAGATTTTAAAGTGGAACCTCTGTGGTACCAACCGTGATTACTTAACACTCAGACACATTAAGTTGTATGATTATTTTTAACTTTAAGTTCCGTATATAATTTTAACTTTTGGAAACAGGCAGCGGTAAGACTTTTGAATTTTTTATGTAGGAATTTTCGAATGCCCATTTTTTTAGTATGTCACGTCACTGTTGCTAAAAAATATAGTCCACACAAACAAGAAACTGCATGAAACCACGAAAAAAAAAAAGATTGACTTAGAACGTTTTGATGTTAATGTGCCACTGGTTGCCATGGTGATGGGACCCAATCATTACATAGCCCTAATGTGATCACGACGGACAAATTGGGAGGGCGCTGCTGGTTAGGGGTGGGGGAGGGGGGTTACAGCAGCGGCAGAAGCCAAACTAGAGATACATCAACCATCAAGAGTGGAGAAGCAGTGCGTTGCTGTAACAGTGCACTGGATTGTTCAGACCAGATCATAGAGAAAATGTCCACCAATCAATCAGTCATTCGTGGGTCACTATTCCAGTTTTGCTTTAAAATACTGAGATCAAAAGAGAAAAGACCACCATGAAGACGCAGACATAGATGGGAGAATGATATTAAAATGGCTCTTACCGTAATAATACGGGAGGATATGAGTGGGATTTATCGGTCTCAAGATAGGGATCGTTTACGGGCTTTTGTGAAGAAGGAGATGAACTTTATTGTTCCATAAAAGACGAGGAATTGCTATCTAAGTGACTGTAAGCATCTCAAGTGGGGATGTGTTTTTCGGGATTAGTTAACAATATTATTGACTTTACAGGAAGCCTATAATCTTCGTAGTAAGATGCTTTTATATCTTTGCTTTGTCGTGCAGGAAAGCATTTAACCCAGGGACTTGTCCTTAATTTCTTAAGAATTAATTTTAATCTAGGGATTCTCAACCCTGTCCCACTGATGTATTTTGCAGGCTGAATTCGTGAAATCAGATCGTAGATAAACTTAAGTATTTGAATGAATTGTGGATGTAGATATTGGCTAAATATATAGTTGCAGAATTATATATTACATTAAATTATGTTGTTTTTTTCAGGCCGAGACTTAAACGAGAGGATGAATTGGACGCGAAGCAGAGGGAAAGAAGAACATGGGATGAAACTGATAAATAGGGGTGTGGAAAGACAGATGAGTGGAGAGGTGTGGTTACCAGATGACCGGTTTTATGTGTAGGTACCTTAAGATTAAGAAAAGAAAATGCCTATGTAATTTTTATACTAGTATATTTTAATGTAAAATATTTTAAAATGCTGTGAATCAATAATCGATATCTGTAATGAATACTTTGTGTATTTTAATAAGACGAAATAGGATAGTATCCTTAAGCAGAGCAGAAAGTTTGGAAACAAAATTTTTACCTCTGAAACGTTAAAGGTAATTCGAGGCACCCGGTCCGTCAGGGGTTTCAATAGATGTCAAATGTCATATCGATTTTTTTTATCGGTTTGGAACACTTTTATTTGCTCCAACACCTAATTACATGTAGTTTTATAAATATTATTTTGCCATTGTTTGTATTACAAATTGCCGTACATGAATTACCGTAATTAGAAGGTCCTGCTTTGATATCAGTGGTGAAATCTTGTGATGTCCATGGTCGCCTGTCTGCTTTTTACGAAGCGAATGCCATTTGCAAATTTTCCTAAAATATCCCGCAGAGTATGGGTTACAGATTTTAATATTTGGCATAGAATTCTTTCATATATAAATGATAACATATCTAAGGATGGGCTAAATTTACATTGATATTGAATATTTTTACGATATCTTGTAGATTTATCGATATCAGGTGACATCCATAGTATATATATTTCATTATATTATATGTATATAATAATTGCGTCAGGACAATTATTAAAAAGAGATGTGCACTATTCAACAGCTTTCATGTTACATTACATAGCAATAACGTCGATTACTGCTTATTGTTGCAATACTCTTAGTACGTATTGTACACGTAGGTTCGCTGATCGTTGGTCAGGAAAGTAGAGATGCACTAACTAGGTTTTATTCAGTGCTGCATCAGGTAGGGGAAATACAGCAAAAGAGTGCCCACAGACGTGGCAAAGGGTAGCAGATGATTCTCCAGTGAATTCTCTCTGAATTATTGCCAGGCTGCATGAGAAACTGAGAAAAGTAACGTTTGTGTAAAATTCTCGTGTCGTAAATGAATGTTTCTCGTTCGTTAGACTTTGGTACAGGTCAGTGAGTACGCGACGTGTCGACGTTTCAATATTTCTGACGATGTTGAGTTAATCTGTGTAAGTAAAAGTGCCATCTTGTACTTTGTCAATCGTCTGAATTATGAATTACAACTTTTCTAAAGCTCGATTCTACGAGGTGCGATCGGAAAATTTCAAGACTGCGCGTATAAAAACCCGGATGCGTCGCATGTGGATTTCTTCCTTTAGAATCAGCTGACAGGTCCCAACAATGTCGCACAAGTCGTTGATGGTACGACGTCGATCTTCGTAACTTTTTCGGGCGTTGTGCTCGAAGATGGTCGTCCAGAACGCTCGTCATCATCGACAGAGGTTCGGCCGGCCCTTTTTAAAACGTGAATGCCACACAAAAGTTTGCGGACTCCCCAAATGTTTGCTTTAGCATTTCATAGGTTTCCTTAGCCGTTTTGGCGAGTCTTTGGCAAAATTTGATGCACACGCCATTCCGAAATCGCAGGAGGGTCGGTGTAATGCACTACCAAAACGCCCGTAACTAAGAAACAAATGCTAATTCGATGATGCCGGCTGGCACACTGATTCACTATGAATGTAGGCCGCACCCCCTAGCGGCAGAAGCTCGTACTACATCCGGTTCGCCCTCTATTGACACAGTCTGGAAACTTTCCGATCGCACCTCGTACTTTCAACTCTTGAAAAGGTTGATTACACACAAGAAACGTATATCTCTGGTCCACCTATAGAATTCGTCATCCAGTTGCACTCTCCAAGGCCACGGAAGGACTTCAGTCCTGTCCCCGTTTGCGCGGTTCTAATTCAACCTGTTCTAGCTTCGCTACGCTGCGAATTCTAAGCTGTCTTCACTCTTCTCGTCCCCGATTATCGTATAGCAGCGTACAATTTTCATGCGACATTGAAGCATGCAATTTGGTGACTATTACTATAGTCGCTTAAAACTGCTTTGCATAGGAAGGGTGTACTGCGTGTAACAGAATGGGCCCCTTCCGTCTACACATTGCAATTTGCTTTGGGTCTGTTTATACGCGTACACGGTTATATGAACATGAGCGTCTGGAAAGGGGGGGGGGGTATGTCGATGAGGAGGTGGGAGAGGTTGCGAGTAAGGGCCAGAAATTCTGCAAGCGTGTTGTATGAATAATGGCACTGATGCCTTCAATGGGTCTATTCTTCCAGCTCATCACCCCCAGTAGTGTAATTATGAATGTAGATGACAACAATAAGAAAGACTAAGACATGGGAGAGGAAAGTTTTGAAGGGCTGAGCTCATCTGCCCCCCTTCCTTCATGGATCATTTCTTACGGTATGGGAAAGTCATTGAAGATCCCTAACCCAGTACTTTGCTCTAGTTAAGCTGTATCTAGGAAGGACTTTTTGCTGTTGAGGATCGGTGTCTCTGAGGTTCTTGATAGAAGAAGGGGACCACGTATTATCTTTATTATGCGCATACAAATACGTCCATTTTGATACGGTCCATTCATCTTTATGAAAATAATTTTTCTTACTGACTTTTACTTCCGATGATACTACAAGCACAAAATCATTCTTGCTTTCAGTTTTCTAAAACTTGGTTCTTGTATGGTTTCGACTTTTCAAAATTTATGAGTTGATAAAGTTGCGTCATATTGTGATAAATATATAGTGTATAAAATTATATAAACTTAAATATAATTTCTTAAATGCAACTTTTAGTCAGATGTTTATCAGATTTCAAATGATGTTTTCTTCCAGATTTATTGTATTTTTAATATCGTATTCGAAGTTGTTCTGTATGTACGTCGTGCTTAATATGATTTTGTGTTGGTGAACGTTTTGTTGTTGTTTTTTGTATCATCCTGTAAAGTAAATAATATAAATACTAAATGAATATTAATAAATTAGAAATAGAAAATAAAATAATATATTTGATAATTTAATTTTGAAACATGCCAGAAATGAAGTTGTGGAGGAGTTACGTCCATCTGGAAGTATTGCCGTGTTTGAACTGAATAGTGTTCATTATTGATCGTGGTTGTTTGTTGTTGTTTTCAAAAGTTATTTTAACGGTAGCAATGTATACAACAAAAATGTCTCTCCTATTCCTTTTCGATTATGGAGTTCATTATTGATCGTGGTTGTTTGTTTTCAAAATTTATTTTAACGTTAGCAATGCATACAACAAAAAGGTCTCTCCTATTTCTTTTCGATTATAATTGTGAGGTTTGATAAACTTATTATCATCCTCTCTTACAAAAATCTTAATTTTCAGCCCTGAAGATTGAAGCAGTATGTTGCTCCGAAACGTCGTTATGAACCTACAAGACCAACATCAACAAACAAGTAATGATATGTTTCATGTACCATTCTAACATAAACCCGGTTCATGAGTTGTTGATCCGTGGTAAAATTAGTATGACGGATGAAAGCAAATCATAATTCCTCCAAGCCAGTTCTAAATGTTTAAGGGTATGTGTGTTATAGTCATTTAATCATCAGTTTCAGTGATGCTTCAAAGATGATTACTGCACGCTTAATCATCAAACAATGCGATATTTTCACTGGAGATAGAGCTTTATCCTTCCCTCAGGATTTACATCAACGCAAGACATGCGTGCTTGTATGCGTGCGTGTTAGGAAGTGACGTGTTCCGCTTTCAGAATCTTGACAGCGGAAATAACGGCAAACAGCCTTCGCCTTCTTCTGCGTCTGTGTCTGCAAAGCACGAAGTAAAAGGAAAATGATTCACAGAAGTGAAGTAAAGCATTGTTCCATTGTACAGGGCTTGTTATATTCAGAGTAAGCTATTAGTATTTGAATTAAACTTTCAACATAACTAATGCCAACTTTTACATTTGTGCTGCTCAAAATCTTACAAAGCCGAATGCGATGTAAATAATAAAATATGTCAGTGTCAACAAATGTGTGGGACAACGAAAAGAACATTGGGACAATCGTGAAAGGGACGATGTTGGAATGATTTTTTAAGTGACGGAAATCGCCAAGCTTTTATGTTGAAATGAAACGTGAATATAATTCAAATAATAGAAAGAAAATTATTGATGAGTGTCACGGAATGCACTACAATACACAAAAATAAAGATACAAGATATGAATTAAATATTTGTTCAGTAAATTGAGGTTGACCTAAGAATTTGTAGTTCATTTGCGAGGTATTTACAGGTACAGGAAAGACAGTTGAATGCTGATTATTAATTCGAGCTCTGCCTACGATCTAAAACAAAGGCCGAGTGGGTAGCATTCTTAGTTCGTGTTTGAGATGTCACGTGTTCACATCCCGCTATATTGACCGGGAATTTTCGCAGTTTTTTTCAGTTCCAAAAGGTAAATTCTGTGATGGTATCTCAAATAAGACGATATCGAAATTTCGGAGTTTCCAAATCCCTGAGCTGCATCTTGGACGGACTTAATATTGGCGATCAGTTACACGGTTTACGAACAGTAAAAATGTTGCATGTTCATTAGTTATTAAAACTGACATATAATCTTGTATTTATTTCGGGGTCTGTTTGGTTGATTTTTCAACTTCTGCGACCAAAATACTCGTAGAAGCAGGGACAGGAGTAAAAGTGTAAAAGCTATTTACAATTTTTTCTTATTGTGACACCGTAAAGTTCATTAGGTTTTTGCATTATATTATACGATTAATGCAAAGAACATGGTTCCTCACAAACGTTCAGTTTTGAGAGCGTGCTGTAGTCCAGTTGAAATTGAAACTTCCTTACAATCTATCAGCTTCCGTGGACCATATGTTACATTTCCAGTTCACCAATTTTGAACAAAAACAGGCTTTTGCAGTTCGAATATAGTGCAATAATATCGCAAGTCAAGAACACTGCATCCAGAATCTTCAGAGCAGACTACCTAAAGCCCCTTGCTAATGTAGTTGACCGCAAGGCCTGTGGTGTGCGTGGTGGCGGAGTTAAGGGTGGTTTCAAAGGGTTAAGGAAGGGGTCGGACGGATTGTCTATATTCCCTGAAGACGACCACTACTGCCATGATATCTGAGTTGTAGCTTCTCCCTAACCATCTTTTGCGAGAGATGAGGGTTCTGTCTTGGGTCACCATTGCTTTCTGGCTATAAAT